CGTTTCTGGAACTAGTATGTCAGGAAGTCCGACATGGTGACAAGAAAAAAACTTACTATCAAAGACAAGAATGGCCTTGAAGTCAAAGCCAGCAAAATCCGAAGTCATTTGACCGAGACGATCGAAGATCTTCTAGATGGACAAGAAACAGAAGCAGTCAATGAGGGTGGATACAAACTGTCCCATCCTATTAAAAACTTCGCGATATCCTACGAAGATGTCAGGGGAGCTCTAGAAAGAGTGTCTCTCCACTCCTCGGCAGGACTAGATGGGATCCAGGGGCGAATACTCAAAAATCTAGGAGATGAAGGCTGTGAATATCTAGCTCGAGTCTACGATGCAATCGTTAAGGGAGAGGCTTTCTTGCCCCGTGAATGGGCGGAGGCCAGGGTGGCTCTAATTGAGAAACCCAATAGTAAACAAGGGATCCTACATACGTATCGACCGTTAACTATATCGGCCCTCAAGTACAGAATATTCACTAGAGTCATAAACAAGAAAATCCAAAAATGGATAGTCAAACACAAAATACTGGGAGAAATGCAACATGGGTACAGAGACAAGCGTAGAGGTGATGACTGCCTCTTCATACTCACGAGCGCCATAGAACAGGCGAGAATACAGAACAGAGGACTTCTAGCAACCTTCCTAGACTGCACTCGAGCATATGACAAAGTATGCAGAACAAAGCTCTGGGAAGTCCTGGGGAAACACGGACTGCGTCGGGAGGTCATAGAACTATTGAAGTTACTATACAAAGAGAATACAGTTATTCTCAAAACAGAGAAAGGTGACTCGGACAGAGTCGCCACACCAGGAGGTCTAAGGCAGGGCTGCCCCCTATCGCCGACCCTATTTATCCTTTACATATTGTAACGTTCCGATAACGAGGGGCAGGAATGATGCCCCGCTTTATTGCTGGATCTGGTATTTATACCCGATGGCGCTGACATCGCCAGCGCATCAATCGGGCACGCTACCGGCACTGGACGTCCGCGTCCGGAAAGGTCCGAGATCTTTCGCATTGAGGGTCCGGAGCCGGCCGGCCGGATCCCTGAGCTGATACGTCTGAGAGGCAACCTGCCGTACAATGGTCCACGGTCCCACAAACGACGGGTGCAACTTTTTCGACAACCCGCGGCGAGTCTTTTTCAATCTGACCAACATTCTCGCCCCGGCAGGTCAAGTCAGGGGAGGAGCCCGATATTATTTGTCGTAGCGTCTTTTCATATTCGTCTGAGCCTTTTCCAGGGAGCGATGAGCTTCGCGTCGCAGATCTTGAACCGGGAGCGGTTGAGACGGAGCAAGTCTCGGGGGTTCTCCCGGCAGAACTGCGGTGAACAATTATTCGAAGAGCAATTATTCGAACGGCGTTTTGCGCAGCGACTCGCTGGGCGACGTATTAATAGAGAAAACGATCTTCGGGAGGAGATCGGGTACCGACGTTTCCCCCTCCAAAACCAAAGCCGTCAAGCGATCCTTCACAGTGCGAATGGTCCGTTCCACTAGACCATTACATTGGGGATGGCCGATGGCTGCCCGTATGTGTGAAATTCCAGACGCTTGGAGATAGCTCACAAAAACATTACTCCGGACATCTTCCGAATCAGGCTATGCCGTACGGGGAAATTCTGTTGGGAAAGGATCTTCTGGATCGGGGATATGTCACGGTTTACTGGTAGGGGCAATCCTGGATTTTGAAACCAGATAAATTCGAAGAAATCGCGACGATGCTCCCGAAAACAACACCGAAGGTACAGCTCAAGACGAAGGATACGGTCAATCTAGAGCCGCGTACGGTTGCGTTCGTTAAGGCAGAACCGGTAGGCAAAAAGAGGGATGTCTCATTCTCGAGGATAGTCAGGATTATGGCGTCTTATGGCAAATTCAGGATGAGGAGGTAGTGATTCCCGTGGCGAACACAGGTAGCCAGGAACTCAGGTTAGAAGCAGGCACGGTTGTAGCGCGCGGAACGCCGATGGATGAGGAGGCGATCTACAGATTCAAGTGGAAAGAGGCGA